CAAAATAGCTGATTTCATTTTTGATAAAAGCAGTGATCAGTATCATTTAATTCATTTTAGTTCTCGTGAGCACAATACTTTCCTCCAAATTAAGTGCTGTCATCTCAGGACACCTGGAGTTTGATAGCGGCTCTAGGAAGGTCTCTTTGAAGCCTGTTTTGTACCAACAGGTATTTCCATTTTTATGGCTTTCTTTAGAAAAGAGGTCTCAATCCACATTTAGGAACACTAGTTTCCACAAAGGAGTAGACGACCTTTTTACTTTGCCTTTGAATTTCCTTCACCCTATACTTCAGGAAGTCTTTGAGGCATGAATTGAATCTGAGACTCATGTTGCTTTGCTAAGAATATACAGCTTCCCGCCACAGTTGTATCTTAAATCCCAAAGGGAGGGCAACTTCGGCCTTTGCAACCTATAGCTCATTGCTGTTAACAAGGCTGGCTCTTCCTCTGAGTGTGGGGATCACCTACATAATCAGAAGATTAAAAAACTACCATTGTAAAGGGAAATAAAAGTGGCCTTGTCATGGTACAGGTTAAGTAGCTCTTTTCTGAACTGCTTGAGACCAGGAATCTTTCAGGATCTGGGAGATTCTGTTTTTGTTTTTGTTTTTTTAAATGTCTTGATATCTTTGAACTGGGATCTAAGTCTAAATTCCAAATTCATTTATGCACATAGGCTGAAGGTAATCTTATACAATGTTTCTAGTGTGCCCTCATTTTAAATATGACTGGGCAGATGAAATCGTGGGAAATTTTCTACTTGTCAACTCTCAAATTTCAGATCTGGGTGCTTTTAGGAATTTCGATTTTTATATTAGTGACGCTCAACCTGTAGGATCACCTTGAAATGAGAGTTGGCAGCTAAAACCATGTACATATTATTTAACCTAATACTATCTCCCCACAACACCGTCCTACAGACGAATTTTGCCTGAGATACTTCTGCACTTTTACAGCACCACTGGCACACACCGCTTGATGTTATCAAAGAAAACCTACAACGCGGTGGAACTGATTATATAAAAAGGTTTATTTAACAAGACATATTAGTATAATTACAAATGGCAGTGCACACAGAAATGCAAAGAATGAGAGCATACGAATCGTACAGAAAGTTTTTAGGCACCATTATCTTCTTTCTTAATTCCCTCTTCATTATATATAGTTCTAAAAAACAGCTATTTTCCAACATCTGATTTTTACTAACTAAAAACCAATCATTAGCAGAGAAATCACTGACTACAAACCTAAGTATCTTGGTTAACCCAAACTATCAGCATTTTAAGTTATTCACACTATAAACGTAGTCTTAAACTTAGATCTGCAGTCTATAAACGCACCCTATGAGTGAACATACGTAACCTCTTCTATTACCCGTCATGCTTTTCATAGCTACCCTACCTTCTAACCACCAAGAACTTCTTACTTTTCCTCTAGATCTCCAATGTTTGCCACAGCCTGACAATAGTTGCCTTTATTCTGTATACTTTATTTGCCAGGTCTGTTATTATTTTTCTAGACTCCACACTGTTCTCACCTTCAATGCCCAGGGGTGGGGAACCTATGGCATATGTGCTGGGATGGGCTATTTGTTTTTGCAGCCACCTCTAAAAGGTTCACCATCAGCGAGCTTGAGCATTCAGACTCCATAACTGCTGTTAGCACTGTGACGGTATGAAGGCAAGAAAATAAAGAAATAAGCATCAGCCACCCAAGCACGAGTCACTACTGAAATCATTTCGTGATGGCTGTTTGTGGCTTCATGCTCCTGTCATATGCAGGCCTGGAAATATTTACTTAGATGATGTGACCACCAGTAAGGGGCTCTGTCTCAGGGCTGCGGCCCATCACCCCCTGGATTTTCTGTGAAGCCACTGATAAGTCAATCAGAGGCCCTGACTAGTATAAGCTGGCTGATCGCTGCTGTTGCTGAAGAGAAATACCTAGCAAAAGGACACACATTTTAGCTAACTGTGACTTAATGCTATTACCCTTTCTCAGACAGTCCATGGAACAACCTCTTAGTTCTGTGGCCCATTTTTGCCAAGTGAAAAACAATAAACAACCCTACAGCTCAGTTCTGGCTCATAAAAATCAGACCTTAACAGTGAAAAGGCTTTGAGAAACCTGAGTGCTGAACTCCAGGCAAAAGTCTTATCTGTGATTAATTTTCCTCATTTATAAAATGAGGACCCTTTCAGATCCAAATTTCTGAGTCTAAAAATTCTGAAAGTTGGGAGGGGTGAGCAGGAACATGTATTTCAATGACAACAATTTAAGCTATTAAAACTTTTAACTGAATGTCTGACTACTTGAAGACACAGAATTAAAAATATACAATGGATTAGTGATTTTGCAATTATCCTGCTACTTCTTTTATATAACCCAACTGTATAATTCAAGATTTAAAGTAAGTTTTTGGCATTAATTATTGGCTTGTGCCTCAAATTCACATGAACATAGTTAAATTCCCATTTCATTTTGTCCTAGGAGGAAACTTGGCTGCCAAGAATTGCTCCAGCTCCCTGTAGCAAGCAGCATATATTTTAAAAAGAAAAAATAGAGAGGGCCCTTCTGAGTAAGTTTTAAACAAGAAATACCAAGGTTTTTATAGGGACTCCCTTCTAATAAAAATAGTTGATAAAAGTTCATTTCAGTGCACTTGAAGTTCTCAACATTTAAAACAATTATAAGCATTCTAAATATTTCTAATAACACGTAGTGTTTTCTTTTTTAATGTTTGGGATTATTTTTAGCAATATCTGGATAAAGCTGTATCAGTAGGCTCCTCGGTACTATTATGAAGGCATCTACCTGCCAATTCAAATAATTTGCAGAGAAGCATTCTATTTCAAAAGGAGTCAGAGTTGCATTATTTGAACACCTTGGCAGTCTCCATTAACAAACAGCAGCAAAGATTCACAGGATACATCAACTACTAGCAGATAACTTTTCCCAAAAGCATCTCCCAGGATAATACCACAAATACAAATAGCCTTTTAATTTCACTGAATTTTATTTTTACACTCTGACAGACTAAACATAAGCTTAAGCGTCATCTGAAAGGTGAGACTGGTTAATATTCATATACTTGGTATAAAATTATGCCACAAAATAGATCTGAAAACTTTAAGGAGGACTAGCGAGGTTCAAAATTGCTTGCCCTATAGCATGAAGCGGGTGCAACAGGCCACTGCTTAGAAGCTGTCTCAGCAGGAGCTACAGAGGAGGACTGATGAGCGCATCCGGGGGCGAAAAATCAGGCTCACAAAAATACCACCAGGCAGAGATGATGAACCTTTGAAAGCTTCCAATATATCAAACAGCCCACTACAGCACGTGTGCCACAGGCTCACCGCCACTGCCGTAGCACGTTCAACCCTGACCTGAGAAACAGTGGCTTTAATCATCATGCCAAGTGATCCCAAGCCAGGAGATTGTCCTCTGACCTGTGTCCCTCCTTCAACATGAAGATTCTGCATAGAGCTGGTTGGTCTCTAGCAGTTCTAACTTCCCATGTTTGTGAACTCCTTTTTGCATTAGGTTACCTAAAGGATCTGTGTGATTAGCCTTCAGCTGTATGGGAACACTAAAGATTCCAAGGATTTCATAAACCCAAATAGTGCCTGTTTTTATTTCTCCATTTATTTTTGGTATCTGGGACTCAAACTCAGGACTTTGCATTTGCCACTGAGTTATCTCCCTGGCCCAAGCGCACGTTTTTAAAAGTTAGGAAGACCCCCTAACATAAAATATATACTCTCAGAAAAATTTAAGTATACAATACAATGTCAATTACAGTCTTATAGATGTGTACTTATTCCCAAACTTAATGAGTTGTATCATACACACATATGTGGCTTTTTATGTGTCAATCATATATCAATAAAAAGTAAAATTTGGACAAATGGGGGTAAGCAGGGTTTGGGGAAAGAGTAACAGTATGTTAGGAAAAGTAGGGAAGACTATTTTGAACCACAGTTATATTCAAAAGTCACTACAGAAAATCTGCGAAGTTCTGAAAGATGCCTCACAGCACTTAAGTTAGTGTTTCAGAAAAGTACTAAGTAACTGTGCATCCAAATAGGCCCTGAACAAGCTACAGTCTCTGCGGGTCTCCACCTGTTAGCACAAACAGGACTCAGAGACTTCTGCAGATCCTTCTAGGTTCAGCATTCTACTAAAAGATTTTCTACACAGTTTCTACTGTAGACATATCTCCAATTAGGACAATTTCAGTCCTTACCTTTGTCTGCTACAAAACATCAGAACACTGGGGGCTTGTTTTAAAACTAGAGTTGGGAAAACGTTCATCTGACACAAACTCTATCTCTGGGGACAGAGCCAAAAACAAAGCATTTGCACCAATTCTTTGTTTTCCATTAATAAGAGGCTTCCTCAGGCCTATCCAGCCCAGAACTCACCTACAGCTTTACAACGCTGTACCTCTTCTTTAGTGTTTATATTTGATGTCCTGCTTGAATGACAAAACAGGAAACTTACAATTTTTATTCCTTTTTTCTTCTCCAAGGAATCCCTTAGCCCCAGTCAAGATCTCTCTCTACCCAGCAGAGGAAAAGTGTTGCAGCTCTATATGCTTCACGCTGACCCACAGCAAAGACAGCCCAGCGCCAGCAACCCCACGCCAGCTTGGGTGGACATTTATGCAGCCCTGCTGTTGGAAATTAAAGTTGATAGCAATTGCGTTCTAATTTGGTCACAGCGGGGCCTGGATAGTTGAAATTACTACTGCAGAGCTGGTTCTGAGTGCGTTTGGGTCTAGGAGAAGAAGAAGCCGACAGCTCCTGTCGGCACCCGACGGGGGGAGAAGACGGTCCCGCTATAGTGAGGCAAAAGGGTCATGTTGCCCCCCGCAAAGATTCCCGGGCCACCAAAGACCCCCAAAAAGCCAGTGCCCTGCCTTTCGCAGCACAGCTCTCCTGGGAGAACAGCGGGGGTAGAAGCGGCTGCAAGAGGCGCCAGGTCCCGCCACTCACCTTCTGCTGCCGCCGAGCCATGTCCGTGGGCTGCTTGGCATTGAAGGGGTACGCGATGCAGCGCACGACGAAGACGTAGAGCTGCAGGCGGATCCTGCGCTCCTGCTCCTCGTCCAGCTGCCGCTCGGGCTCGTCTCGCCCCTCGCTGAGCCCCGAGGGGCTGGGGCTCCCGGGTCTGGTGGCGCCGCTGCTGCCGCCCGAGCGCCCCGGCGCGTCCCGCCGCCCTTCCCGAGCCGCGGCCGGGGTTGCTCGCTGGGAGCCGCCGGCCGCCCCCGGCGCATCGCGGCTCTCTTCTTCCAGCCCCTCGTCCGACTCCTCTTCGCTGGAAGACGGGTCCAGCATGGTGCAGGGGGATCCGCAGGCGCCTCAGCCCGGGCGGCTGCAGCCGAGGGTCCGAGGACGCAGCGGGCTGGCGGACAGCGGCCGCAGAGCGAAAGGGAAAGTGGCCGGGGCTTTCCGGACACGTCGAGTTGGAGCCCGAGCGCTTTCCACCTCCCGGCGCGCGCGGGCGGAGCTGCGGGGGGTGCGGGGGGCGGAGTTAGCGGGGGGCGCGGACTCCCTCGGCCGAGCCCCTCAGAGCCCGCGCGGTAGGCGGCGCGGCCCGGCGCCCGGCGCAGGTGGGGAACCTGTGGCGCCTGCCGCGAGCAACAC